TTYYTTWRRWTTYYTTYYTTKRMMAAAAAATAAAATTTCAATCAAATATAGAACAAGGAACCCGGCAATGGTAATTTAATCAGTAAATTACTAGAARACAATGGGAATAAATTAATGGTTCTGAACACAAGTAATGCAGGCTCAAGTTTACAGGAAAGTGAGTGACTTAGTGATTGACAGATTTGTCCCCCTCCAATAACTCTTCCATTGCTTTGCAATCTTCGAGTTAAAAACTAAATGACTGGCCATTGAACAATCTCAAAGTGCAGTGCTTTATGCTTATATATAACCTTTTCAAACAGTATTATTTCAAAATGGATTGCCTTACTAAACATCGGGCATCTCAAGAAACTATCACAGAAAAGAACATTAATTATATGAGTAAATTTGCACTGGATCCAATCAGCAATAATGAAGAGTGAAACCTCTTATTTGTCTTGACATTTTGTGCAATGTTGACAAGAGTTGCTAAATTTTTATATTATGTATATTTTTAAGCAAGCATCTACCTATGTTATGTTATGTTGAAACAATTTGCCTGTGAGTACAGCTGTTTCTTATTAACTATTAAATGAAGCACTCTTCTCTCTGGCATTTGATTTCAATAGAGTATATAACATAATTCTATTTGAGTGATACAACAACAAGTAATCAAAAGACTCTGCTATAGGCAAAGCAAGAAAATATGATTCATACTAACTTACCTCTGAAAATGCTACAGCAGTGCTGGCTATGTACAGTTCCTGGGATACAATGCGACTATACCTTAGCATTAGTGTTATTGATGCATTCTGCACAGTCAATATCACTAGACTTATATACTTTATACTAAACAAGCCATCTAAAACAAAAACAATGTATATATTTAAATGGAATGAATGAATTGAAGAAACTCTTAAAAATGAATATGGATTTGAAAATATGTATTCCTAGTACTAACTTCAACAGAACAATACACAGTCTAATCCGACCTGCAACCACTATTTCTTATAAAAAAACCCTTCTTCCTGCATAAACACACATTGAATAAGCCTTGGTACAATTGATGATAAAAGAAAAGAAAACTTTACTGGTAAGCTATAACCACGAAATTAGACCACAAATAGTCTAACTGAAATCGTTCCAACCTTAGTTACACAAAAGGTCTGAAAAGGTATAGCAGTTTTATGCTTTCATTCTACAACATAGAGATTGTTCTACTTTCACTSAGTAATGTCTGGTTAGCATTACTGTCCAAAGACTTTGCTAAGTTGGAAAATGATTTAAAATATGACAATCTAAAAAGTATTTCATTTTAATAATTAGTCCAGTCCTGGCCTCCTTTCGACCCACTCCAGGACTCACAGGAAAGAGAGTCCAACCAAAGTCCAGCYACAATGAGCAAAACAAACTAATCAGATTAATAGTCCCACACTTAGTGACYGCTTTGAATTTTTACGCCCATACRGAATTCACAATATTTGGTTGATCATTAGTCTGCTTTTGTCTGTGTTAAGCCCCATCTGTCACAAAGGTAGATTCATTCAAATGTTTGCTTGCAAGTTGGCATAGAAATGCCAAAGATATACTATTATTGTTTTGGCTACTTGGGCTATTCACAGTGTTTGTGCAACATTTTCACTACAAAATTCCAGGACTTTTCAAGTACTTTTTAAGCATGAAAAAAATGCGATTTTCAAGAAGTATTTTTGAAGATATTTTTAGAYGTTTGCGGATGTTTCAAATGGCGATTTTTTAAAATTGCCACATTTCAATCCAAAAAATAACAATCAACTAGGGCTTCSAAGCGCTCTTGAAAACGAGTTTTCAATTCCAGGACTTTTCAAGGACTTTTCGGCAAAACACTGAACTGGGTGAGCTGAATAGCCCAAGTAGCCAAAACAATAATACAACACAGCACCCTGAGAAAAGTTATCGATTATCAAAGATAGACGAACTTGTAACAAGTGGTGAATGATAGATTTGTTGACTAAACGACTAAACTGGCTTTAAACATACATCTTTTTTGAAACCTTTGAAATGATGAGGAAAAATAATACAATTGTTTTCCAGTTGCCAGGGACTATAATAATCATGATGAGAGTGGCATTACATCGGTCTTTCTGTATATTGTACAGAAAATTGTAACCATCAACACATCTTATATGTGGTGATTGCAAGGTCATCTGAAATGTGCATGCAAGTTATAGTGGACTCTCTTTCCCTGTGAGTCCTGGAGCAGGTCAAAAGGAGGCCAGGACTGGACTATGTAGTTTTCTAATTAACAATTAGACCTCGAGGTCKTGGACTACGAGCTAATAGCCCATGAGACCGAGTCCGCGAGGACGAATGGGCTATTAGCTCTTAGTCCACGAGGCTGAGAGGTCTAATTGTTTTAGTATAAACATACTAATCGGTCAAATAATGAAAAAAAATTGAAATATTCTTAAAATAATAAAAATAATAATAAACCCGTGAAACAAAGTGTAATAATTAGAGTGTAATAGATCGTAATAGTCGCGTAGAGACAATAAAAAACAAAAGAGCCAAAGTGTAATWGCGATAAAKACGYTAAMKTGTGTTTCACGGGTTAATGAAAACCACTCTAAGAATATTTGGATTACTTTAGYCGTTATTTTGTGACACGTAAGCTTAAGTCTTAAGTTAAGTTACATGTTTTAAAGCTTAATGTTAAGCTTGCATGTAAGCTTAATGTTTCAACAATGGCTCTCTACTCGAAAAAGAAATACTGTTTTGAATTATTCAAGGTAATTTAAACACATCGATGGAAAGACAAGTTATTTTTGATACAAGAAACTGAGCATCTTTTACTTACCAGAGACCGCCATCTTTAATATAAACATAGACATGCGCGATGTGGACAATTGTGTGGAACGCCTGGTCAAAAATCGTTMTCCCGCGCCGCAAGTAACAAAAGAGCACATCATTATCTATTTTTATTTCTCAGGAGGAGCCGACGGGTTCAAGGGAGATATATATCTCTGTTCTTATGTCCCGACCAGCTGTAAATGAAAATTTCCTAACTAAAAAAAATATGTCTGTCCAGTCATCTTGAAATAAAGGGTTGATTTTAGACTTACCACATGTCAACTTGTTTATTTGCAAGCAGGAATTCAAGTAATTTTATAGCATATATGTAAATGTTTGCTTGACGAATTCAATTAAACTAAACTAAGTGCGAGGACTTAACTACCTTACGTGAAATGTCAAAGCCCGGGGACTTGTTTTTCAACTTTGATCTTAAGTCCGGCTACCACCATTTGGATATATATTATCGGAAATTTCTCTCGTTTAGCTGGTCTTTGAAATATTCTACTTACTTAAGATCTTTTTCAACTTACAGTGTAATTTATTGTATGTCGGTAAGACTGGCCGTCGTCTTGGCGCTCGCATCCGTGAGCATCTTTATAATATTCGTCATAACGGTCTTAATAAACCGGTTTCCTGCCACTTTAACTTACCCAACCATACTCTTTCTAACTTTATTGTTTTTGGTTTGTCTTTGATTAGCGACAACAATAATTGTCGCAAAACCAAAGAAATGCGGCTTATTCACTCAATGTGTAAATAGCAATCAGTGATCGCTGATTTCGAATGAAAAGCGGCAGGCAAAATTGGATCAGACAAATGCGATAAATCCGTGTACGCGATTTTGTACGTGATATTACACATTATTTCTTGAAGTGTCCCTTCTGGATCACACCAACAAGGGATAACTAATGATGCACTAGGTATATAAATTTAACTCAAAACGGTCGCTCAAAGCTTTAGTGATCGTTAGTCCTCCACAACGATAATAATATCTTTCTTCGTGCTGCTTTCGGTGGACAAATTCTGAAACTAACACAGCGTTTATCTGCTTTGAACTTGAAAATGGAGCATTGCAACAGGGGGGTGGGCAACGCCCAAATTATTAATTATTAAAACGTGTGAGACAATTTGTGCCTACCACTACTGTTATGGCGATATTAAATTCACTAATACAACCTCATTTCCACTATGTTATGATACGTTATGTTATGTTAATGTGTTGTGTTGTGTTGTGTTGTGTTGTGTTGTGTTGTGTTGTGTTGTGTTGTGTTGTGTTGTGTTGTGTTGTGTTGTGTTGTGTTGTGTTGTGTTGTGTTGTGTTGTGTTGTGTTGTGTTGTGTTGTGTTGTGTTGTGT